TTCCGATCTGGCAGCGTCAAGTTCGTTCCACCCTCATCGGCCTTGATCTTCTTGGCTATGTTGATGGCAGTCTCACTGCCCCTCCACAAACAGTAGCTGATGCTGTCAATCCATGTTATGGTATTTGGTTTCGTCAAGACCAGGCCATTGTTGGTGCTCTCCTCGGCAGCTGCACTGACACTATTCAACCTCTTATCTCAAACGTTGCCACGTCCCGTGAAGCCTGGCTTAATCTTCATTCCAGCTTTGCAAGCGCCAGTCGAGGTCATGTTCTTGCCCTCAAGTCAAAACTTGGCAAGAACCCCCGTGGTAATCGCTCTATCAATGACTATCTCCATGATATGCAGTCCATCTCCAATGAACTTGCGTTGAATCAGAATCCCATCAAGGACGAAGACCTGGTTGCCCATGTTTTAAATCAACTTGGTTCTGAATATGATCCTATTTCATCTGCGGCTTTCATTCGCGGTTCTGCCATTTCCTTTCCTGAACTGGGAGACATTCTCCGGGATTTTGAACATAAACTCCAAGTGTCTGATACGGCTGTTTCTAGTATGGTGGCCACGGCAAACTCTACTCAGCGTCACTCGGTGTCTAATTCTCGGTTCAATGGCGGCCATTCCTCCACGGCTCCTATAGCTTATCCTCGCCGTGGTCAGCAGCACCTGGGCTCGGGAAGGCAGACGCGGCGTCAAGATGGCGCTCATTCCTCCTGCCAGTTTTGCTCCATTCCCGGACATGATATCAAGGTGTGCCGCAAACTTGCTCGTCTACTTCGTGACAATGGTCTTCAGGCACATCCTACGGGTCCTTCCGTCCCAGTGGCTCACATGACTGCTGCTGCCCCAGTTGGTCTTGATTCCTTGATGTTTGACAGTGGGGCAAGCCATCATACTACTCCTAATCCTCAGCAGCTTCACTCGCTCTCTGACTACGGTGGTCCTGATGAGATTCGTTTGGGCAACGGTAAGGGTCTTTCTATTACTCATATTGGTAACACCTCTATTCCTATCCGTTCTGGGTCTTTGTCTTTAACTAATGTCCTCTGTGTTCCTCAATTATCTAAACCTCTCGTGTCTGTCTCTCAGCTGTGTCATATTAACAATGTGTCTGTGGAATTTTTTCCTTCTTCCTTTGTTGTTAAGGATCTGATCACGGGGGCGCCTCTTCTTCACGGTAAAAACCACGGAGGTGTTTATTATGCTGTTCCAGTTCGTCCACCTGAAGTCCACCATGTTACCTTGTCTGGGTTACATCATGTTTTTGGTCATCCGTCCAATAAAATTTTATCTCGTATTTTGAATTGTTGTAATAAATCTGTCTCCCCTCGAGACTTTGTGAATTTTCATTGTAAGTCTTGTTCAATCAATAAGAGCCATAAGTTACCTTTTTATGAAAATTCTCTTGTCAGTACTGCTCCTCTTCAATTGGTCTACTCGGATGTGTGGTCGTGTAATGATACTTCTCTAGAGGGTTACAAACACTATGTTATTTTCATTGACCACTATACCAAATATGTTTGGTTGTATCCTATGTGTCGCAAGTCTGATGTGGCTGTCCTGTTTCCCACCTATAAAAACTTGGTTGAGAAATTTTTCAATCATAAACTTATTGCTCTTTATTCCGATAATGGGGGTGAATACATCAAACTGCGTCCTTTTCTAAATTCCCATGGGGTCTCTCATTTCACAACCCCTCCACATACTCCTGAGCACAATGGGACATCTGAACGACGTCATCGGCATGTTGTTGAAACTGGTCTCTCCTTACTTCATCATGCCTCCATGCCTCTCGTGTATTGGCCATTCGCATTTCAAACTGCGGTTTATCTTATCAATCGTATGCCTACCCCCATTCTTAATTTCCAAACTCCTTTCTCTTGTCTTTTTAAAACCAATCCTAATTATCTCAAAATCCAACCGTTTGGCTATTTGTGTTATCCATGGTTGCGGCCCTATACAACTTCCAAACTTCAACCAAAATCCACCCCTTGTGTCTTTGTTGGCTACTCCACCACTCAATCTGCTTATAAGTGTCTTGATATACAATCGCACCGTCTGTATGTGTCACGTCATGTTCAATTCATTGCCACACACTACCCTTTTTCCTCTTCCCAAACAGCTCCACTCCACCAGCTCTTAGAATAAGTGCCCTTCACTAGAGGAGGGGGGGGGTGAATAGTGAGGCACGAGAATGTTTATAAATTTTTGCGGAATAAAAATCGCAGGGATAAAGTAAAGAACGTAAAAAGTAAAGAGCGTAAAAAAGCGTAAAGAGAGCACACCAAGATTTATACTAGTTCACCACAACATGTGGCTAGTCCAGTCTCCCGAGAGACTCTCTCGAGCTACACTACTTCCGTTAAGCTTATGGGTGCTTAACAAACCGTTACAACCTGAGAACTCGAGTCCCACGAGCCTCAATACACTTGCTCGGAGATACCGCACTCCAAGACTTCAACTCGAAGGAATATGCCCTTCCTTCGTACAACCAAGGGAACAAACCTCCCTTAAAGTGTTCACAACACTTAACCACTCAAGAACAAAAACTCTCTTAAAGAGTAGAATATGAGTAAACTAATTTAGATCAAGAACACACTCAATTCCTCAAGAAATG